CCCGGGTTGCAGGGGTGAGCGTCGTACCACTCGTATGGGCTGAACCTGCGGCGGCACATGGAAAGCGAGAGCTCGTTAGTCGGGATGCGGCGTGACAAGACCCTAAAGGAACAGGAAAAAAGAGCCTTAATACATCTTGTGCTGCTGTGCGGGCCCTGCTGACCCCTTCGGTTTTGTGGCTTATTAGAGAAAAAGGCAAATTCAGCCAAGATTTTCCGAAGTGACCAGCATGGCTGTAAGCCCCGTGTCCTGCACTGCAGACAGCAAGGACGCCTGGGGAGCCAGGTCCTTCTGGGGGACCTCAGGGTGCTTCCCCAAAGCCCTCGGTCCCTTCGGATCATCTCTGCAATACTACGTCACACAGCAGCAACTGGAGCGCACGGCGATGGGATGGGGTGGGATGTGGTGCAGTTCCAAAATGTGGGGAAAAATGGCATTTGTGGATCGACTGAGGAGTGATGCTGCAGTGATTCTGCAGCAGTAGCTGGGACAGACCGTGGTGTTTTGGAGGACTCTCCCACTAGTGCACATGGGAATCGAGATGGGATTTTGCTGAGTGAGAAGCAGAACTTTCCACTGTCCTGGTAAGCAGGAATCCTGCCCAGTCAGGGCACCAGCACAGCAGTGGGAATCGGAAAGGATTCACTGTGGACTCCCACGATGCTCAGCCCCATTGCAGGTGGTGGGAGAACACTAATTCCCTGGTGGGGCACGTTTCCAGGGACAGCTCTGTAGTTCTTGGGCAAAACTGAGGGAATTTTCTATGATTATCTCTCTACAAACCCTGCCTAGGACTGGTTGGCAAGTGCTGATGTGAACGTAGCTCTTTCAGCCAGGATCTGGGGAGGATGCTCAACAGGAGAGATGCTGATAGTTTTAGAGCTGTTTATTTACATTTTCTAAGAATCCCAAATTTTGCAGAGATTAAATTAAAAACATAATTGGTATAATTGCTTTTGAACCAGGCATTAATTATCATCTCCGCTTCCTTCTGAAACCCCTGTAGCTTCACACCAGCCCTCTCTCAAAGCCCAGCCCACAGTTTGTGTTAGGAGAGATTTCTCTCTGTAGTTCTCCGCCAGACGCTGCTACCCCAGGAGATGTCTTGTTGCTTAATGGCAGGGGCGCCCTCAGTCAGGCAGTTGGATGGATTTGGAGAGAAGAGCCGCAGCTCTCTCCCACGTCCCTTCGGCACAGATCGCTCCCCGAAGACAGCGGCTGCCCCCGCCTCTGCTCCGCACAGCTGCGCCGTCAGACCCCCCCGGAGCCCGGCACGCGGGGACGTTCCGCAAAGACGGAGCCGCGGTCCCCGGGCACACGGACCGCGCAGGGCGAAGCGGAGGAGCGTGTCCGTGAGCAAGATCCCGTCGCTGGGGACGGACTAGGTGCAACGCATAGGACTTGTGGGTTTAGAAAAGCTCATCCTGGGTAAATCTATCCCACTTCTTGCTGCTGTTTTCCATGTGCAAGATACAGGGTAACGACCTCTTCTTCCCCCCCTTTCATCTCGCCTCTCCGCAGCAGGGACCCTCCGCTCTGCTTTGCAGACCCGGAGCCCTCGCGCAGGTGGCACCCTGATGATGCTGCTCCTCGTCCGGGTAGCAGCAGCGCCGTTCCTGCTGCCCACCGCCCTCTGCTTTTGCAAATAAGAGAAAATCAGAAAGGAAAACAAGAATCGGGCTGAATTCAGGCCTGGCTTTACATGCTGCCTGTTCCTTTAAACTTGCCGTAAATTTATGCCAGAGGTGTAGAAGGGACAGCACCTAAGCCCCTTCTGTGGAATGAAGCCAGAGTTCAAGAATTAGATGAAAACTTTCTTGGGCTGCCAATGGAAGAATATGAAACAGGAAGGGAATCAGTGAGATCAAATGAGCCTGACAAGATGACACGCTGTAGAACTTCAGGGTCTCTGAGTGAAAACCTGCTGGTGCAGCTCGTATTACAGAGGAATATTCAGAAACTGCAAAGCAGCGACAGTCTTCAGCGCTGGGCAAGCGAGCAGGACCGTTAGCGGGAGCGGAGGTAATGAAGGAAGAAGCGAGTGGAGCTCGTTGACCCCATGCAGCTGGAGCCATAATAAATGGGGCTGCTCAGGATTCACCGTGGGCTGCTTCCCTCTTTCTCAGGTGCAGAACAGGGGCTGAGAAATATTTCATCAAACTATTATTATTTTCTTGCCTCTTTTTGGCAGGGAAACGGGAACATTTCAAAGAAGGTCTAAAGATCTAACACAAAATACTTTTGAGTCTAAATTGCATCCCTAGAGAAATTTCTTATGGATGACCCAGTGCTCATCGCAATTAAGATGCATATTAAACCCACCCGCCCCGTTGTGCACCCAAAGGTGTAATGAACTGTAATTTGGGGGCCGTGTGAGTGCAAGGATGGGTGGCAATTCAAAGCAGCAGCCACATGGCTGCCTGCAACCTCCCACCACAATCACCAGACAAATTACCCCACGAAGTCTCCTAAATTGCTGGTGGTTATGGCTCTTTGGGGGCTGGGGCGGTTAGGAGCAGAGACTCCATCAATAACTAAGAAAGACTGATTAAGAGAGGAGATGGATACCATACATCCTTTTCCTGCCTCTAAGTAGTCCCTAAGTTGGTTTTAAGTGGCATTGACCTATGATTATAGCCTTGGCAGAGGACTCTGGTGCCTAGTTCAGGAGACTCATGTCTCTGAATTAAGACTTTGCTATTCTGACTGTGGTTTTCTCCTGAGAATTGGATTTTAGAGGCCTCGCTGGGGTCAAAAGCAAACATTGTTTCCATTACTTCTGAATGCAGAAAATATTTTCCCCATGAAATCTCTTGCTTTCCATCTCTATGTGTTAAAAGATCATTCCTGCACAACTTTAATTACACTGAATACTCAGTGTTCTTTGACAGAGTAGGAAGATAGAAGAAAAGTCAAGAGGAAAACATGTGAAAAAGGAACAATTGCAATATTTTATCAGTTCAATTTCAGCCAAAAAATAGCCTGGTAGGGAAAAACTGTTGTATTACATCACAACTGCTATGATATAGGGAGATTATGGGGCTCATTTCAGAACAAAAACTGCTGCGAGTGCTCTCCAGTGCTGGGCAGGACGGGTGGGGTGTTACTGGGCTGGTACCCTGGTCGGGGGTGCCCAGGCACCCACCTTGGCTCGGGGCAGGCGCTGTGTGCACACCGCTGCCGGCAGCCCGGGGCCGGGCAGCCCCGCTGCCCTCTGAACAGAGCATCCGGATCGTCCTGTGTGTCCGGAGTGGCAGCCGAGGTCAACTGTCCGAGCGCTTCCTTCAGCCTTTCCGCAGTGTTTGCTGGAATGAATTTCATGTGCAGACACAATTTGCACATTTAGTATGCTTTGAAAGTGGGATCTGGACAATTTGGGCTGGATTTGGCCATTATATGAGTTGGGAAAAATAAACTCATAAATGGAAAATTGTATTTGAATTGTCATTCCAAGCGGCACAAGCAGTCGAATACTTTATGGTATTGGAGCTGGAGATGTTATGGCAGCAAAGCCCATCTAGCTACGTTCTGCATGGCTAACAGAGACATAAAGTGGAGGAGTTCTATCAGTCATCGCAATATTTTTCCTTTTTGTAATTACCTCGGGTTCATTTTCCCAGATTAGTGGTGTCCTGCTGAGAGCCTGTGGTTCCTCTCTGACACAAAGCAAAACCGCTGCGGACCTCATCCCGCTCCCAGCAGCCTTCCCAGGGCCTTCGGCTGGGGCGGGACGAGGCTGGCAGCAGGGTTTGGCTGGACCGTCCTGCCTTTCGCGTGCCCCCGCGGTGCTGCCCGCCCCGGCCGGGGGTCTGCAGGGCAGCGGCGGTGAGTTAACGGCAGCGCGGTGCCCGGCCTCCCGTAGGATCACATGTGCTGCTGTTTACAGCACCGGTGCACTGGAACGAACTGCTGGTTGGGTTTGTGAGCTGCCATGTGCCCTGCAGGGCTGCCGTGTGCCCTGCAGTGCTGCCGTGTGCCCTGCGGTGCTGCCCTGTGCCCTGCAGGGCTGCCGTGTGCCCTGCAGTGCTGCCGGGTGACCTGCAGTGCTGCTGGGTGCCCCGCAGTGCTGCAGGAGCCCCGTGCTCCCCATGGGTGCTGTGCATAGGCTGTGTGCGGAGCCATCCGTGCTCAGATGGCACCTGTGGGACCTCAGGAGAGCACCTGGAAACCCGGTGGGTCTCCAGTGGACAGAGGTGCCTCGCAAAGGCCGGGGAGAATGACTGCAGTTAACATCTGGACACATCTGCCTGTGTCCTCCAAGTGAAGTACACTCTCTCGGCTCTGCACCTCCGCAGAGGGGGGCTCAGACGACGCAGCTGCTTCCCCATCCCAGATGGTTTGGAGCACTAATGCTGTCTGCTAAGCCGAGTTTACTTTGACAACTGCCGTTATGTGTAATTAGGATATTACGTAGTAAACTCCAAAAATCATCTCGAAATGCCTCTGAGGACCTGAGGGACGCTGAAAATTGCAGATGTGTTGTAACACGAGGGTTAATGGATTCTGGTTGCTGCAGTTTCGTATTTAATCTTTACTTTGACTATGGGGTTGATGTCAGTGCACTAGGTGGAAGCTGGTTTCTGAAGGATTCTTGGGGGAAAACACAGCGCAGCAGCCCTTGGAGGAAGGGGGTCTGCGCAGAGCCCCAGTCCCAGCTGTGGGCTCAGCAGGGAGGTTTCTGAAGGCACCGCTGCATAACTTGGACTGGAAGAGATGAGAAATGAGCATCTAACTGCAGATTGTGCTTAGGGAACTTCCGTGGGTGGGGTGTTCACGCGGAATATTTGAACATCCAGGGAGGGCTGCGTGGGGCCGGGGCGGGCGGCCGCCCGGCAGGAGGGAGGCAAGTGCTGTGGTTTGGTTTGAAAAGGTGGAATCACATGTTGAGAGCAGCCCTGGACTGTGCATCTCGTCAAAAACTCCGTGAAATTAATAACACATGCAAATATATGCAAATTCCACTGGTTTTAAATATAGAGGTTTTAAACATGCTAATTAGATGCATATTAATTTTGTAAACAGACACATTGTCTGATCTGCAGCAATGAGTTCTCCATTCTTTTGATATAGGAAAGGGTTTGTAGGAGCTTTGCTGGTGGAGGGTTTGGAGAGAGGAGCTGAAAATGGTTTGGGACATGGGAGCGTTGTGTCCAGGACACAGCGGAGAGGCTGCGCTTCTCCCTGGAGAAGGTGGCTGAGAAGTGACCTAACAAGAGCGTGACTGGTGAGGAACGATACAGAGCAGGAAAATTATCCTTCGTTATACCAGGGAGGTGCTAATGAACTGGAAAGGCAACAGAATTTCTAAAATCATAAAAGAAAGCTCATTTTAAAATTGTTTTGTACTGGAAGTCTACTAAATCTGTGGAACTGCCTGCCCTGATACGGCGAAAGAGGCTCACAGGATTGTGTTAATAAAGCAAACACACACGGGCACAGTTGGTACGGTGCCGCGGTACAAAGGATAGAACAGGCTGCAGCTCGTCAGGAGGAGAACGAATTTCCCCTGTGGATAGCTCCTCTGCGGTTGTCACCACGGGGTTAGCGTCATCTCTGCAACCACTCCGAGATACAGGTCCCAAAGGGCATGGGGCATCTGGCAGTCGCGAGCGACCCCACGCCAAGAGACCAGCCTGCCCTGGGGTAACAGCCCCCCAGTCATTCCATTAATGACACGGATTTAATGCTGCAGCTCCCGCTGGGCGGTCGGATCCCTGTGACACACCAGGCAGCAAAACTACTGAGCGCGGGGAGGGTGTCTGGTGGCATGGCAGCTGATGGCAGGGACGGCAGTGGGGTGGGGTGGCACCGGTGTCCCCTTACCTGGCGATGACAAACAGCACGCAGCTGACCCCCAGGTAGGCGAGGAGGATGTACATCCAAATGTCAGGAGACAGGGGGTTGAGGAAGGAGAACACGCTGGGGTTGGTCCCGTTGGGCTTCCGGTAGAGGATGCTGACCCCCAGCGTCATGAAGGGCTTGGAGAAGTCTATGGCTTTCTCCCGCACGTGGGTGATGGTGAGAGGAGCAACGGCCAGATCAGCTTTCTGTGTGTGGCACAGAGACACGGAGGGAGGAGGAAAGAAGGTGTTAGAAACCGGGACGTTTCCACCCCCTCAAACACCCACAGCAGTCCCACTGCAGAATTGGGCCAAAAAAACCCTGAAGCGCCACTCTGGGGTTCCCCTCTCCCCTTGCACATGGGGGGTCTGCCCTGTGCCCGTGCCAGAGCCGGGCCGGGGCTGTCTGTGCCAGACACGGGCTGGCCCCGGGGAGCTGCTCCCTTCGGACCTGCCGTGCTGCCGAACAGGCAACAAAGCCGTTGCGAGAGCTGCGCCGCGTCACGCACACACGGTGCTCGGGCAGCTTTCCGTGAGCCTCCCCCAGGGAAGGGACCGGGACGGGTCTGTGTGCGTCCGGCACAAGGACGCCTGAGACAGCGCAGGCGGAACCTGGAGCTGATACAACGTGGCCCAGTTGTTATAAATACTTTTCATCACCTAAACAAAACCCCAGCGCAGGTGCAGGATGTCCAAAACACGCTGGGCGAGGTTCTGGAGGTGGTGATGTGGATCAGTTCACCATCTTTAAAAGAGTCGTTCCTGATTTAAATTGGCGAGCTGGAGAGCCAAACGTGGTCTGCTGCTTGCTAATTACGCTCTAGGACTTCCACCGTGCAGGTTTTTGGCTGATGTTAGCGCGTGAAATGCAGCGCGGGCAACAGAGAGGGCTTCCAGTCCGCGCAGCTCTTGGCCAGGTGCAACGAGCTCACGCTGCGGCGTTCTCCTACGGTGGTCGGAAAAGCGGTATTTTCCGGTGGTGTAGGACACCTGCGATCCTCGCTGTGCTTGCCTCGTGCTGCAGAACTCTTCACGACAGAGTTTGCTGTGTGCAAATCCCCCTGTTGGCAGAGAGATTTGTTTTTTCTGCCCTTCCCTTCGACGCCGCTGCAAGAGGAGGGAGTCGCAGAGGGAGACCACTGCAGAATGAAGCTGCAGTGATATTGTAGCAGCAGGAGGTAAAAGGTTCAATTTCTTTCAGTCGACTTCATGATACCACTCGAAGGCTCACGGAGGAAGCCGCGGCGGAGGGTGGGAGAGCTGCTGTTCGGGAACGCTCGCGACCTGCCCGGCTGGTGGGAGTGGGCAAAACCATCCCGGGGTTCCCTTCCGTCGTCGGCCGTGCATGTGGGCGCAGGCGCCGCCGGGGCAATGCTCCTGCTGATTAGTGGTGGATTTCACAGCCCGTGATGCTGGAACGGCCACTGCTGCACAGGGAATTTCAGCCGAGCATGTTCTTCATCCTGACTTCTCGTATGAGTTATGTTTCTTTCCATTATTTCTGTTATTTAATAACTTCTTTGGTAGATTCAGTGAGCAACCACATACAACCTCTTCGTGTGGTTAAGAGCTGCGTTCGTTCCTCTTGCTGAACGTTCATTCATGTTCTTAAAAAACTTTGAGTAGATACATCCAAGGCTACCTCAATGTCACCTGCTCTGCTCGGGGTTCGCACATCACTCTTTTGGTATCATTGACTTCAGAGGAAATGCAGACACATAAATTATGTTTCTGAAGTTGAGTGGTACCTCCCCCCCTGCCAGGTGCTTAGCATACCCATGCAAGATTTATTTAACATCTGGTTCTGAAAATTAAAATTCTAAATTAACCATGAGTGATAATTACCTAGAGATATAGTGGATTTGTCATTACTTGCAAACTTTAAATCAATATTAGCTGTCTTGCTAGAACATGCTTTATTTCAACAGAAGCTACTGTGTTCTCGGTAGAGTTTGGTGAAGTTTTCTGGCCTGTGTTGTGGAGGAAGGGCAGACTAATGATCTCATTTGACCTTGCAAATCTGTGACAAAAGTCAGTGGAATATTTTTAAATACAGGAATCTGGGCCATTTTCTATAAGAAGAGTTTCTACATGAGCTTTTTTCTATTACATACATATATATGTGTGTGTCTATGAAAGGGTCTCCTCTCCAAAGAACGTAGCTTTAGGGGCCCTGAAGACAAGATTTCAGGAATTCTCTAAGAAGGGTAAAAATGATGTGGGTTTTGAGCCCCGCTTGGTTCCCTTTCCTTCTCTCTTTCCAAATGGAAATATATTTTAAAATCAGCTTGGTGCAGAAAGTGTCCGTTTCAATCACTGGCGTTTGTCAAAGCCTAGAGAAAAAGGAAACACTATTTTCCCTACGAGCCCTTTGTCCGGCTGGGGCTGCGGTGACACTGGTGCGAACCGAAGGGCACTGGTTTATAGAAGTGGACGGGCAGTGCTGGCTGCCCCGCGTGAGATGGGGAAGTTCTGCACCTTGGGAGCAGAACCTGCACCCTTGGCACGGTCCTGGCGGACGCCCGGCGGGTTTGGAGCTCGGCTGCTCTCCCCACGTTGCAGCACCTTTGAGAATTTTGGCTTAACAGTCTCCAAAGTCACAAATTTGCCAGAAACAGCAAAAGAAATGCAGCATTTCAGCTCCTCCGTCGCGTCTGCATGGGTGCCCTGACTCAGCAGGGAAAACCGAAGGAGATGCTGAAGGATTTGGCTATGGATTTTTCTGATGGATGAAACAACCGAGAGCAGTTCTGTGGTCAGTGCTCGCGAGCAACTGCCTGACTGAAAGATCCTGAGCCAAATTTGTCAAAATGATGCAGCAAGCTGAATAACAGCTAGGAGTTGAGGGTTTACCACAGAAAATGAAGAGAGAGAAATCTGCATGGATGCCCAAGGATCAAAATGCTTTTAGTGCGGAAATAAAATTTTACTGTGTCGTTTCAGCAGCTCCTGTGATTTGATCGCAGCCCCGTGTCCTTGGCAGTAAATGTCAGGCACCAGCACGAGGGAGCGTGTGTTGGGAGCCCGGACTGGTGTGCTGGCCTGAGCTATTAAAGTGCGCGGGGCTGCGCTTCCATATCCTTTTTATCAATGCAGATTTTTCTGAAGGTGGCCTCTAATTAAGGGTTTGCTGACTGAGAGGATCTAAATCAAAACCCACCAAGGGTGAAGCTTTCATTTGTCGTGCTCTGACATTACAAACTGGGAAGTCAATTATCAGGAGCTGACTGCTTCCTTCCTCAGCCCCAACTTTTATGCTGTTGCACAGTAAGATGGGTTTTATTAAAAATGAGGAATTATAGCAAGTGCCAGTGGCTTAAAAGCCCTTATCCAGCAAAACCACTTAAGCACACGCTTCTGTTTTACTGGAGCTTGCACACCTTCCAAGTCTTATGTGTGTTCCTAAGTGTTCTGCTGAATTGAGGCCAAAAGGGTGAATTTTGCCGAGGCAGCTGCACACCAAGTGCAGCCGCTTCTCTAACACCCCGTGAAGGGCTGGGGTCTCCGTATTCACCCAGCGTTGCAGCATTTGCACTCGGGCAGACCTGATGCCAGTTCACTGGGCGTTCAGGGGATGGAGGATTGCATTCTCCGCAGAGATATTTGGCTTTTGTCAGAAATTGCTCAGTCTTATCTTCAAGTTCTCGGTTACCACGGGAATGTGGCCCGTGGGTCAGAACAGCTCTGGCACAGCCACGGTCAGCGTGGGAATCCTGCAGCATCCAACCGCCGCCGGAGGAGAGCTGCCTGTGACGGTCAGTCACAGCAGAGCCCACAAACAGCATAAGCACCAAGATAAATATTTATTCAAGAAAATAAGCTGCTTCGGTGCTTATTTTGCCAATCTGAGTTAGGTATTTACATAAACTAATTATGTGTGTGTTGCCTGAGAGACAGGTAAATGGCGCATATTTTACTTATGTGATTGTTATTCCGGTGTCTGTCTGACAGCACCGACACTTCCATCCCTCGGCCTCTCCTGCCGCTGGGGCTGCGGCGTTTTCCTCCCCCTCCGCCCCCCCCGCCGTGCCTCGGGTCCCACCTGCCCCGTCCCTGCTCTGCTGGCTCGGCCACTGCACCATGCTCCAGCACCCCTGTCTGCTCGGGGCTGCTGCATGCCAGCCTTGCTCCGCCGTCCTTCTGCATCTCTCCCTGCAGCAGGGCCAGCCCCCAGGCATCCCTGGGTGTCCTTGGGCATCCCCAGGCATCCCTGGGTGTCCCTGGGCGCCAGCACCCGGATCCCTGGGGATGGCACGGCCAAATGGCGCGGCCCAGCCAGGTCTGCAGCCTGTGGCTCGTGGGAGCTGCCCAGAGCCTCATGCCCGCAGCCCCCTCCCCTTGCTGCCCAGGGGCAGGAAAATGCCCAGCGAAAGGAGTGATGCTGGAGGAGCCCGGCACATCCGAGATGCCTCGGCCTGCCGCCGCGTGCACCGTGTGCGGGGTCTGCATTAACTGTCTGACTCCAGCTCTCAATGGCTGCTCTTACGATTTCAGCCCTAATTTAGCCATAATTTTTGACAATGAATTTGTTTAACGTCAGTGGTGAATTGAGAAGAGGTGTCGGCAGGGAACGCCTCGCTGTCAGCCGAACGGGAGACATGGGGACCTTGTAATCTTTTCTTTAGGGAAGTTCCTCGGAGAGGGAACTGCCGTTAATTGTACCTAAGGGGTGTCAAAGGCTGTAGAATCCCAGGGAGAGTGGCTGGATTTTCAGAGACAAGCCCCCGGGCGGGGGCGCAAGCGACGGGAGGGAGAAGCAGGTCCAGAGGGATCTGCAAAGCAAGCAGAGAACTCCGGCTCCCAACGTACACCTCAGAATGGTCCCATCACCTGGATCACTGAATGTGATAAATATAAATATACCCAGCTAATGACACTGGGCACAAAAAGAGAAAGTGCAGCCAGCTGTTTTGGCTTATTTCCATCTCCTCCCTAATGCTGTGTTCCTGTAGTGCCTAAACAAGAGATGGAGGATGCTTCACCCAACAAATTTTTTCCTTATTCTGGGCCCGGTGGCTTTCAAATGAATCCCCAGTTCACAACACTTGAAGTAAACACCCACCAGTGCAGGAACATTAATGGGAATGTGGCAATGTGGTGCAATATGTATTTCTGCCAGAATTTACTGTCAATAAATGCCCATTTATTGTGAAAGTGTTAAATCAACTGTCATAAATCGTCCCTAAGGATAGATATTACATCTTCTCTATAGTTACCATTGGCAGGGATTTCCATTAGAAACCCTATTATTTTTCATACCTTTTTTATTCCCACATGAAGTTTCAGATTGAATGGAAATTTGATATGCACTGTCTCAGCAGAAGACAAGTTTTATTTGTGAACAAGTTTGTGCAAAATGTCCAGAACGGCTCATTCTGCTGCTTTTATGGGATTCTGCCCACAAACAATAGGGAAGATTTGCAGGTGTTATTTTGCCAGACAACTGGAATTTATAAATCAGAATGGATGGGCCACAATGCACAGTGTAGTTTTGGTTGTATCAATAATTTCTATGAATAAACATCAATAACGGTTCACTACTGATGAAGGGAGGAGATATGACAGGTGCCAGCTTCGCTGTTTATTATGGAGGGCACAGGAGCTTCTCTGTGTCTCCTGGGTGCCCCAAACCTCCCCAAATACCAGTGTCGTGAGCGAGTTCAGCTTTCGTGGCCCGTTCTGATTGAGGCTCCGCTGCAGGAGCGGCCAGCGAGAGTGGGAATGAGCAACAGCTGCGGGGAGGAAAGAGTCTGATTCTCCAGGGAATGGCCTGAACTCCCTCAAACAGGGATTTTTTTGTGATGACGGACGAGCAGCAGATGAAAGGCAGCGGGGCAGGACTCTGCATCTGACCGCACGAGGCTGTCTTCTCCAGATCAGCTGCTGGAAGACAGGGTCATGCTGTGAGCTGCGCTGACTGCTGTTGCTTTTCCTGTTTATGCTCGCGGCCAGACTAGAAACAAAGCGCTTTTACAAAGGATGGTAGCCTGGGGCGTTAGTGCCCGTGGCCAGGCATGTCTGGATCAGAGAGGAGAGGGGAAGGAGGACAGTGCGAGACTCCAAAACAAGCCACGGGAGCTCTGCGTAAACAGCCCGTCCTGCGGCACTGCGCTGTGATTCACACCTTTGTGTGGTGGGCACCATCATTCCGTACCCTCCTGGGCTCCCTGCCTGCTGCCCGCGCCCAGCTCCTCACTGGCTGTATTTCATCCCGCCCTGAGGGATGGGCTGCCCCTTGCTTTGCCCATCTCCTTTTCACGGAATTTCAGCCTCGGATGGGGCTATTCCTGGTACGCAGAATCTGCCACTCCCACGGCTCTCAGACCTTCCAAGTGGTAACAATCACCATTTCAGCCTCTTCTTCCACCCCAGGAGCACCCTCTCCTGTGTGCGGGACACTCAGCCCAGCATCGGAGCTGGTGCATCACGGTGGTCCCGGGAGGTCGGTCTCAGATGCACATGGGGGAAGTGGGTCTTCAGCAGTGCTCAGGCTTTGTGCAAGGAGTTAATCCTGGCCTGGGTGTTTGGACCTCGCAAAAATCCTACCTGCTTTGTGCTCCCACCTGAAGGATCCCAACTCTTTATGAGTTGGGACACTGAATACAGAGGAAAGCCAGCCCAGATATCGAACTGGCAGTGTGGGCAGCCCTGTTTTCATCACTACAACTTTGAATGCTGCCTCCAACGCTTTTCCTACGAGGTGTGAAGTGAGTTTGAACTTGCCCATTGCAAAGTGCCAATCAGTTGTGCCTCTCTCCACACGATCTGAAGATGCTTTGCTGCTGAGGAAGGGCCCCAGCTGGTTGCAGTTTCACTTTTTAATGCTTTACATAAACACTGCTATAAAAAGCAATGACATGCAGATAAAGAAAATAATGGCTTCATATGGGGTTTGGCCAATAGTTATAAATCACTCCAAGGCGTGTGCCTGACCACACCTGTTGGAAAGCAGAGTTCAAACTTGATGCTACAGTAAAACTTGAAAGGAGAGGGGATTTGGTCCTTTCCTGATGCTGTATGTTAACTTGCTTTTTAAATAGTTAGCCAGGAAATACTTCAGTGCAGGTTGACCATCAATTTTGTGTTGCTTAATGAGGTGTTCTCCATACCTTCTTCTTGGCCTGTCTCTTTTAGCTGACCACAGCTTCGGGAATGGCTGAAAGCCTCCCGAGAGCCCTCTAAGGTCTTGCAGGACATTGGAAGTGGCACGGTTCGGACTAAATGACGGTCTGGCGTCTATTCCCTGTGTCTTATTTCCTGCTTTGGAGCGATTTTCTTCTTCAGAGCCCCACTCTACAGGCGCTCTGCGGTGAGAGCCACAGGCTGTGCTCCCCGCCGCGGTGCGGGGCCGCGGGAGGCCGTGTCCCGGAGCGCACTGCGAGGGCCGCAGCCACGTCTGTTCCTGTCTGTGTCGCACACATCACTCGGAGCAGCAAAGCACCAGCCTCTTCCGCTGGGACGCTGAGTGCCACTTGTCTGACTGAGCAGGGCTGTTGTGTAAGAGACTATGGAGTCTGTATTTGGAGCTGCGTGGAGTTTTCTGGAAGCAGAAACACAAAGGCAGGTGTGCACAGCCCATGGTGCCTTCCCCTGAGACGCAGTGTCCTCTCCCCGGGGCCATCCTCGCACGCCCTTGCACGTCCTCGCACGCCCCCGCAGCGCTTCCCACCTCTCCGGGGTGAGTGCGTACGGACCGCAGCGCTCTTCGCAAACTGATTAAGCATCACTTTGTCCCTGTAAGGGACGTAATCGTCATCATCTGCGTTTTGCAGATGGAGGAAGTATTGCACAGAAGCAACTTGTCCAATGTCATTTCGGGCAGACGAGCCAAATCCGGAAGCCCCAGCGCGGTCCCTGAGCCCCAGCGCTGCGCTCCCACCGCCAGACGATGCTCTGTTATCTGCTCACGGCGAAGCTCGGTTGCTGAAGTGACTCACGCAGCAAATACATTCTTCTCACATGAGCTGTAAGAGCATCACAGCTGCTACGTACGTGGGATTATTTTTGTCTCTGTTCTGCTTGGGCGATGTTTTCAGACCGCAGCCAGGAGCTGGCGAGGCGGTCGGAGGGCTGCCCCGCTTGAGCAGGGTGTTCAGGAGGAGAGGCTGTGTTGCAGCTCCAGGGCTGCTTGTGCTGCCGCCTGTGCTGCGGAGATCATAGATTAATTTTGTCCTGATCTTTTCTTCCAGAGGCCTTTTCTGGGAATCAGAGATTCATAAAAACAGCAGCTTTTCTCACCTCCCTAACTGGGCTTCTGGGATCACAGGATGTGCTGGAGGCAAAATACCTAATTAGGGCACGGAGTAACCTCTGGCCGCCAGTCGCGGGTTT